CTTATTAATTTTGATCATTTATATTGGTATAAGTCTTTGATTCAATTTCAATTTGCTTAGTTTTTAATCCAATCTCTTCAGATGTTCAATCATATCCTTGGCTCTTAAGATGGGAACCTACCTTCGAAACTACCCAAACCAAACTCCCTTGCTCTTCAAAATAGCCACATTTTTCACCTATTGTAGTGCTTTCTTCTTAGCCACTTGATTAATCCTGGCAGTCTTCTGTTCTCTATCATTATTGTCTTCCATGAGACCAGCCTCTCTCTTCTCCTCTTACAAACGCTTATATCTATTGAACAACTATCTATAACTTTCAATGAACACTTTCAATTTCCTGATGTTCAAATACTTATACAATATGTATCTTCTTTTTTAATACAACCTCCTATAAAGTAATCTCTACTCACACCATTTCAGTGTGTAATACTTCTCAAAGAACCTCAGCAATTTCTTTAATCTGGCTATCTTGTCATCGAATTCCTTCTAGGCATGAGCGATCTCAAATTTCTTATAAGGGAAATCAAAATTATGAATGTTCTTCCTCAATATTATTTGTCTCCTCTTTACCAATAGGATTTCAGGCATTGCCTCCCTCTACGAGTCCTCCTCCTTCTGTTTCTATGCTATCTCCATTTAAGATTCATCATCATCATCGTCATCATCCTCCTCCTAGATCAACTACTTCTACTTCTTCTCCACTTTCAAAATAGTTCCATAGGGTTTGAACAATACATACTTTGAGAGTGTGTTTCTGTCGGACTTTAATCTCTTCATCTTACTTGTCTTCTTCTTAAAATGTTCTATAGTAGATTTCAATAGATAGGTTTGTCGTTTCATAATCGAAATAAACTCATAGGTTGCCTCTGGAATCAACCCTTCCAATATGAATCTCAAGGCAAATGCTATCAAAATGATGATCAAAAACATAGTCACATCCTTAATCAATGGTGGAGTAGGCCCATTTCGATCAGGATGCAACTTCCCCATCAGAAATACAACACCTGTATTGAAGATTATACTGAAATTTGCCAAGAATTCCAAGAGCAAACTCCAAATACCAATGCTCTGTTCATCCAAAGGAACTGGCCTTTGAGAATACTTGATCAATTTGATCTTATCAGTTTGCATTTCCAGAGCATTCCAAACAAATCCTATGAACATAGAAGCAGGGAATAAAGGTGCAAACAATCCCAACAAGCCAGATTGAATGATGATTTCCATGTAGTCATCCACTGTACCATATCTATCCACAGATTTGAAATAACTATCCTTTTAGGACTCCTACTCCACATAGTAGTTGATGATTCCATATTCATCAATCGTTTCTGGCTGCTCCTGTGTTCGATTAAATAATTTGTTGATCACTGGAGTCACCACCTCCTTGATATTGAACACGAACAATATGATGAACAAACTGGAGAAGAAGTATTTAGCATTCAGATTGCAATCCCCATAGGCACAATCAATACCCAATTCCTGATTTAGAAATGCTATCATAAATATAGGAGCAAAGTAGGACAGCAACATTAAAGTGAATTTCTTTATGATAAAGTTAGCCTCGAAATCTGCCACTGTTTGATGATTCTCCTAATCAGTCATACTCTCTGCTAATCTTTCATAGATGTATTCAAAGATGTTCAATATTAACACATTGATACTACAAGGGATACTCACTTCCAATTTCAAAAAGTTTAACCTCTCCAAACTAGTGAAGATATCATATTCATAAAAGAACTTAGTCATATAAAATAAACCTATCACACTTCCAATGTATATACTAAACACAAATCCCAATATTAATCCATTCTTCAACATATGAATAAGCAACTTACTCATTGGGTAATATAAGGTGTTAGCTTCATCGTTGCAAGGATCACGTCTGTACTCCCCCTAAAAGGCAGGTCTCTACTCTTATTACTCATTTCCCTGTTTGATATTCTAAGCAAATTGAGCCACTATCTACTTCTCCTTCAATTTCCAAGAACCCAACATCAATGTTAAAAATGATGAATGCAATATCCCGAACATCATTGCAATTACAATTGAGACTCTGGGCTCAGTTAAAGACTGTATGATTGTACAAATCAATCCAATAATCCCTGGAATCAATAAACTTTTGGTGTAATGTCCTAGAAATGTAAAATAAAGGGCAATCTTTTCCCCATAATATTCTCTTACTTCATCTGATGGCACATGCCAAATCTCCCCAATTTTGAGCTTCCAAATCTCTTCCAAATTATGCAATTTCGGTTTCACAAACAAACTCTCCGCAATCAAGAACTTCTCCTATAACAATCGTATATATTCTTGAGCATCTGAACTTAAAGTCTGAGAGAATGCCTTAGGATCACTCTGAAAGAATCGCTTATTACTCAATCCATTCAATTCATATTGATCATTTAAGCCAAATATCTGTTCCAAATAGGACTTGTTGAATATATAAGGGATATTGATGGCTTAATTGACTAAGTAATTGGCCAACTTAATTCTCTCCATGATGGAAAACACTGATATTCTCCCACTCTCACTCACTTGATATTTCTTCCAAATTGTGTTGATCCTACTCTTCTTCTTATATGAGAATCTCCTCCCTGATACAGTGTACTCACTAGAGATGGCTATGTTATACAACTCTCCAAATGAAAAGTCCCAAATGCATTTTAATAAATTGCCCTTCGCATTATTAATGATCTACATTCCATCCCTCATGGCTGTACCGTATGCTTAAGCCAACAACCCTCTTTGTCTTTCCTTCAAGAATTTGGTGCATAAAGAATTCCATTTCAGATGGAACACCTTCTTCATATTCAGAAATTGCTCTTATTCCTCTTATATCTATTCCTTCCAAACCTCTTCCTCCTTTTCCATAAATGACAAGAACAAACACTCAATCAATTGTTATTTCATAGAATCGTAATAGACTGGATTTTTGTCTCTGGTCAATGTGAATTGCTTTTAGTCCACCTTCTCTGGTATTTCCTTCATCTAAATACATAGTTGGTCGATTATTTTCTTTTGGGCCGAGTCTCCATTGGGATCTACTAGTTTCTTGAGGCTGGTTTCTGCATCTTCTTCGTCATCGAAGTAATGTTGGATCTGCTTTAAGTAGGCTTCGATATTGGTTTCCTTCTCATTAATGTCTAAATTCAATTTATCCCTAACGAGATGTTAGAGGATCTTGAGTAGGATGGTATTGAAGTCTTTGGAATAGGTATCACAGATGATGAGGGGATTTTCATTATATTGTTTGATATTTTAATTTTTCTTGGTGGTTTTTGGAATGAACTTTTTTCTTTGATAAGAGAAATACCTTTTGATCTGTTGTTCTTATTTGATGGTTCTATCTTAGTCATTCAAATCGATTAATTGATTGATATCAAAATTACTCTTGTCATTTTTCTTGGTCACTCTTCTTAACTAAGCCTTGGTGACAATTTTGGTTTCTGCCTTCTTTTCTTTCTTTTTGGCAATAGAAGGATTCATCAAGACTGCAAAATCCAATTTAAAATAGAACTTCTCTCTGGCTTCAGTGACTCTTTATTCCAAATACACCAGATACTCATAATAGGCTTCCCATAATTCATCCGAGGGGCCTTCTTCGTCTCCAATTAGATCACGTTAGCCGTAATCAAACATCTAATCATTAAGATTCTGGATGTGCAATTCTTTGGCCATTTTCTTAAAATTAATCTTCTTAAGTAGATTGATGATCTTGGGTTTGATGTATTGAAAATAACTACTTTGATTCACATCCATATCGTTTCTCCATAGACGATTGTTCAATCTCAAGGGACGGTAATTCTGATCTATGGGTTCAAGAGATAACAAGTCAGTAAATTCGAGATTGAGAAACTTTCTCATTTTAATTTGTTAAGCAACAAGAGAAATGTTGGCTTCTGCACAATACAAAATAGCAAAGATTGATTTGTTATCTGAGGATACGAATGTCCTCATTTTGAATCCCTTTTGACTCAACCTCAATAGAATCAGGTTACGAACCAAAGTATAGAAATCTTTAACCTTATGATGAGTACGTTGCAGACCTCCAGCTGTTTTAATGATGAACTTTCCCCTTGTTAAGATCTTCTTCTTCAGAATCGTTGAGAACCCCTTCCTTTTTTCTCTATTCTTGCTCACCTTAAAGTTTTTATTCAAACTGTTCATCACTTTATTCCGTACCATCTCCACAAACTCATTATGCTCTCCTTGTATATTTAATTGATCATCCTCCTTGAAGAACAACTTGATTGCAGCTATCAGATTTTGAGTTGAGAATTGATTGGAGTATGCCAATTTGTTAGGACCCAAGTCATCCTATTTTGAATCCGCTAATTGGGAATAAGCATATTAAAATGCCATCGAAAGTATCTCGTAATCCAATTGCTCAGTTTTGAATTCAATCGAACACCTAGTTCCTATGCCCTGTTATAGAAACTCCTAGGCTTCTATATATGAAATTGTTGCATAAGCCATCTCATCTGGATTCGGGAATTGCAGCACTACATCCCCCATACAGTAGTCTTTCTCAGTCAAATATTGACTTGGATCGTTCATCACCATCCGTATGTAATCCTACTCAGGCATTTTATAATGTTCAGATTGATCTCCTTAAATTTTGTAAATGTTAAATTTGCTATACTCCAAGAATTGCTTGTGTTCGTCCTCGTTCACCTCATCCCCCAGGAGATACTTAATATAAATGCTCATTATATTGAAGATGTTATTGAATTTCCTCTGACGCCGTTCATCTCGACTTAATTTTTCTTCTTCCCTTATCATTTATATATTATAAAATTATAGTTTATTTCATCTCAATTCCTCTTCCATCTTTAAAATAACATGTACAACTTAAGAAATTCATTTATTAAATATATGTTAAATCTCCAGAATGCCTTCCATTTAGAGTAGTCTCAATGATGCTCATTTCAATTTGATTGCAGAAAAAGCTTCATATTCATAAATGCATATAACTATTATAGACAAAACATATAAAGCGCATGAGATCAGCTGGATTTGACTAGACTCTAAAGAGGAGTGTTTGGCTTATTGAAATTCATCTTGACCTTAATCTATATCCTACGCTTATTTAGATATATCTGATTTTATTTCAGTAGCATGTGAGTGGAAGTCTCCTAGATTCGATATAGAAGATAAGAATTGGGAAGAGCAATACATGTAGGCACTCTACTTTGAAGTCGTCACTATGTTAACTATAGAATATGGTGATATGGTGCCAAAAATGCCATTGAGATAATAGTCACTATTGTATTTGTGTTGGGTGCATGTATGAATATTCAACTTATGTGAATAGGTAATGGGTATCCAATAGTGTTAATTTCATCCGCAGTATCATCCATGATATCACACATAACTAAGCGGAAAGTAATAGGAGAATGAGAGATATTAACAAATACATGGATTAAAGGAAGATACCGTAGAGTTTACAAAGAGTACTTCTTTCAGATGATTTTCAAAAGTACTGTCAATTGAAGGAAGCCATTACTTTGAGTTACCATCCATTCGACATCCAGAGTGAATAGATTAATTAGTGATTAGAATTGCGAGACCTATTATTTCAATAAATAAATGCTGAAGATGTGATAGTGCTGTTTAATAAGATCTGTTTGGATGGCAAACTAGTATACTTCAAAGAATGAGGAAGTTTTTGTTTTATCCCTTTTTTTATGATCAAAACTTTCTGAGATCAAGAAGAAATACTAAACTGATATCTATAACTCCTATGAAAGTTATTGCTAAAGTTAAAAATACCTTTGAGAATTAAAAATAGACTCTGAAATAAAAAAAAAGAAAACTACCCTTATTCGTTCAAGTACTAAAATAAACTTTATCGTTCCAGACTATGTCAATCCATTTTCATAATATAAGAAATGAATGTATTTAATCATCCATTTCATATTCCTTGTTCTATAGATATGCATTTTCTTTTTCACTTCTAAATCATTCTTATATCCAGTAACTATAAAATTAACTATTTTTATTTTTAAATCAAAATATTCGCACTTGTATATGAATTATAACTCCTACCCTGAGTTATAGAGATATTCTCAATTGAAACCATTATCCTAAAGACATTACTTCTAATTCCAAAGTATGTAAGTTTATTTTTATATTATACTTCTTTAAAAAGACAAGTAAATTGAAAAACTTTCATGAGCGTTGACGTTGTTATTCAAGAAATTCAAAGTAATTGTTATAATAAGCAAATCTATTTAATATATGAGATTTCAATATTTACATCCAGCTAATTTTCAAAGTAATTTAGACCTTATTTTCGTTGAAGTACAAATTCTTTGTTTGATTGGTTTCCCATTTAATAATTTGAGAAAGAAACCATTTAGATATCTTGGGATCTGATTACTGTTTTTATGAATTATACTCAAATGTTATTCTACAGTTCTTTAAAGTTTCTATGAAGTAAATCCACATAGAAAACAAATTTAAAGATGTCTTATAAAAATAAATGACATTAATTGTTGCATTTGTAATTTTGATGACTTCAAGCAATGAAACCAATTAAATATAAATACAATATCCAAAATGATAAATAGATATTTTACAATAATTATAATTATTATTATGGATCAAAACCACTGGAATCAGAAGTCATCTGTTTAAGAGTTTGGAATTGATAAGAATGTATAATAATAAGTAGTCCCACCACTTTAAGCTCAATTAATCAGAAGAGTCTCAAAACGTAATATTGCAATAAAGGCAACCCAGGAGAGTGGCGTGGGATAAATCTTTGAAACTTACCATCCATAACAAAGGAATCAAACATTGGATGATATTAAATTCATCATCAAATGCTTTTAAGGCCATTTTGTATTTAGCTCAATGACTGAAACATAATTGTAATTGTTTATATACTAACCAAAGGACTCAGTTGGCCAATAGCATGTTTTATTGCAAATTATCAGTAGGCTAAACAATCATTCGTTAGGGGGACGGTGCAAGCTCATTTTTCATTTTGGAAAAAGGAAGGATTAATGTCATAGTGGATAATGTACCTCGTAAGGAGATAAATGCAGGACAAGGATTTGGTGAATTAGCGTTATTGTACAATGCCCCAAGGTCTGCAACATGCATGGCAGTTGAAGAATGCTACCTTTGGGGAATTGACAGACATACATTTAGAAAAAGTGTTGAAACCATTATGAGAAGCGAGTAAGAGAAGAATCGCAAATATTTGGAAAGTGTTAAATTCTTTAGTATGAATTGAAATTAAACTTTAAGATTAATTGACAAGAGAGTAAAAAGATGCAGTGGCTGGAGTTTTGATATCTTAAAAATTCAATGCTAATGAAATCATTGTAAATGAAGGAGATTAGGCTAGCTCATTTTATATCATAGTGGAAGGACAGTGTGGAGTGTTCAATAAGGAAGGACAACAAATATCAGTGCTCAATCCTAGTGATTCATTTGGTGAGTCAGCTCTTAAGTAGGAGCATCAAGTGAGAATGATGACTATCAAATCAGTTCAAAAGGATACCAAGGTGTTGGCCTTAGGAAAAGATATGATTCAATAGATCTTGGGAGACTAGGTTCAAGCTATCATTTATAAAAACATTTGTAAATGGGCTCTCAATTCATCCAAATTATTTAGCAAAACTCCACACTCTTATTAGGATAAATTATTGGAAGGTGTGTAAGTCAAAATGTTTACTGCCAATTCCAAAATTATATTGAAGGGAGATAAAGTTGGTCAATTAGTCATTCTTTTAGATACTGATGCCGTTGATGAAAATAAGGTTAAATTTGTTAAGGGATCAATTCTATTTGAGGATTCATTATAAGATAAATTGTCAGGCACCACTCACTTAAAGACTGTATCTGTTGAAGCAGATGGACATGTAGCAATAGTTGATTATGAAGCCTTTAGAAGTTAATAAGGAAGTGTTGAAAAAATACAATAAGGAAAGGCATAGTAATAAGAAAAGTCGAGTGCTCATGAGGAATAGATTAAGAGTTAACCATTCAAAAATTTAATATATTTAAATAAATTAGGTTCAGGGTAATTTGGATCTGTCTATTTATGTAAGTTTAAGGAACTAGACACTTTATTTGCTCTTAAGTATGTCACAAGGGCACATATCCAGTAATTCGGAATACAAAAACATATCCAATAAGAAAAGGCTGTTTTAGAATTGATGGACAATCCATTCATTTTTAAATTCTACAGATCCTATAAGGACAATGAAAATATATACTTTTTGACAGAATACATAGCAGGAATGGAATTATTTGATGCCATCAGAGTTATTGGTAAATTATTCAATTACCTTAGGATTATTAAGCAAATTCGATGCTCAATTCTATGCTTCTTAAATGATATTGCAAATGGAATATCTTCATACTTAACATAGCATTGTGTACAGAGATATTAAACCAGAGAATCTTATGGTTGATGATTAAGGATATCTAAAACTAATCGATATGGGAACAGCTAAGTCTTTTAAAAATTAATGTATACATAGATAATAATAATGTAGAATCTACTAAGACATTTACTATAATTGGGACTCCTCACTATATGGCTCCTGAAGTCATTTCAGGAAAAGGCTATGGTTACTTTGCTGACTTATGGAGTGTCGGAGTGTGCGTATATGAATTTATATGTGGTGGATTGCCATTTGGTGAAGACGCTGAGGATCCCTTCGAAATTTATAAGGAAATCATAAAGAAACCAATCAGTTATCCACATTTCATGACTGACAAATCTGCAAAACCTTTTATAGAATAGATGATGAACAAAATTCCAGAAGTCAGATTAGGAGGATCGTACTCAACTCTGAAATCTCATGTTTGGTTCAAGGATTATGATTGGGTATTGATGATTTACAATTCTATTCTAGGAGAAACTGTTGAATAAGAGTTTGAAGGCTCCATTATTGAAAGGGAAGGACAATGTTATGACTTCGGCTTAGATATAGAGTGCATAATAAAAAGCTATCTCTGTGTATGATTAGATATAGAAAGACACTTAAGGGGAGAAGAAAGTCTTAGCAAGTGCAAAGGATGCGGAATGGGATAGTGTATTTTGAATAAGTTGATAATAATAAACATCACGATTTTATAAGTACATATTCTCTATCGCTTTTTCCGAATCTCAGTACATCATCTTCCAGTAATTCGTAATACCTCGCAGGTTCTAATTGCTGATCATTTAGATAAGTTCCATTTGTGCTTTCTAAATCCATGGCGTATGGTTTTATATAAGATAGCACTTCTCCTTGACTATTCACCTTCTTTATTTCTCTAAATTAAATGACACAATGCTATTTGGAAACGGAAATGTTCTCAATTAAGATGTCGACGATCTCTTTGTCCTTCCCAATCAAGAATACTGACTTCCCTTTTAGAGATATAGATGCTTTTATAATTGAAACCTAAATATACGATATGATTGTGTTCCTTTAAAGGGGAATAATTGCCAATTGGCTATGGGAATTTGAGCATCGAAAGGAATAGTAAACTTTAAGACTTTGCCATTGCCCAATGCATTCTCTGCATATTAGGCTAATATTCCAGATGCCTCAAAACTTGGTTTTTCTTTTATTATTTCTTATTATTGTGCCTACAGACATTCTTCCTTTTTCACATGTTCCTATTTCACTTCTTTTTTTGAGTGATGATGCTTTTTCTTATGTTTTTTGCGATTACTACTTGATCCAGAAGTAGATCGCTATTTATGTTTACCCATTAATTAAATTTATAATCAGTAAGAAAAGCAAGCATGTAGATAAGTCAGACACTCAGAAATTGCATCAACTTTCATAAAATGGTCCAAGAACTCTGTGATTAGGGCGAAATCAATTTCAAAGAAAAGAATAGGCTCAAATCAGAATTCAACTCTAATAATGAAGAGTTATTATTTTTGATCGAGGGTACCTTGACTTTCAATTATTAGATATGGACAACTAAAGTTTTAGATAACATTTGATTGATTATGTGAAAGCCAAGCATTAAGTCGTAAAAATAGCCAATTCTCCTGGAATTAGAAGAAAATCCTTACTCTCTGAATCCAGTCCTTTGATCGGCAGAAAAAGCGTATTCTCAAAGGAAAGCAAAGTAACTGAAGATGAATTACTAAATTACATCAGACAACTGAGAGAGGCCCTAGTAGAAGTGTACCAATCAAGATCTAATGCATTAACATTATTAGTTTAAGACAATCTAAAGTCTTTGACATAGTTTATTAGCAAATTGCCGAGTAAAAGTCCTCAACCATCGTTAATTTTGTTGTAGGAAACAAATATTGCAGATGATATTGAGTCCTATTATAAGCAGCTAAAAAATCAGTTTTTGAATACTCACTCTTTGTTGATTAATGATAGCATTGTATCAGTAACCTCTAATTTGGTTAATAACTTGCTTAATTGTGATGAATTTACATTTATAAGTCCATAGCATGGCATTTATGAATCAGTAAAACATACCTTTGCCATTTTAAATCACAATGAATACCTAGAAGATTTAATCTCAATAACAACTAATATCAATTTGCTTACTGAAAATTAAACTAAGCTATTCGAGATGTTTTCACAATACGGAAGAACCTATACGTTACGAGTTCATGATGAATTCTTTTTTTATCATCAAAAGGTACAAAAAGATAGTCTATTGAATATCACTTTGGAATATAATTGCTTTCAAGAAGTCCTTATGCTGACTAAATTAATTTCTAAATCAATCATTTAGTCGAGAGTATAATAATTTAGCCCAATCTAAATCGGCAATATGATTTTGGATGTGGGAGTAGAATTTGTTAGATGCAGTAAGTACTTATTTATTAATCAAATCATAAATTTGTTGAGGACCAAGTATAACATTGAAAAAGCTGAAAGTGAAATCTAAGGCTCTTGTACTTCCATCTAAAGCACCAATCCATCTCCATCAAACAAACAAGTCAAGTTTGCTAAAATTCAATTCAAAGATGCTTTGCCAATAGAAATTACAGTCATTGGTTTAAATCTGAATAAAAAGGAGGATCTATAAATATACAAGACCATTCAAAATCTATACAACAAATATTTGAAATTCATAGAATTGAGTTACGATAGAATTACGTTTTACAAGTACTTCATAAAATCCAAAGATTCAATTATGTTAGAATTCGATAAGGAGGGCAAATTGGCCTTTTTATCACGACCTATTCCACCTTCACTAAGTCGTGAATTTTAACTATAATATATCCATAGAGGTTACTATTATCAGATAATTCAAAATGACAAGTTATTACATGAAATTGAATAACACTTGGAAAACTATTGGATAATTCAATAGAATGAATAATTATATGAAATCTTCTTGAAGGCAAGAAACAAGAAATTTAAGGGATTTGCCATAATCTTTTCAGAAGGCTTCTTATAAACAAGAAGTTTAGAATTGGAAGCTAAGAAAATCAAACTCAGATAAGAAGCCACATAATATTTAACCAATCTTGAATAAAATAACCCTGAGATCAAAGATACTATATTGTCATTCTACATGCCCTCATAAATCTAAGCTCCAAAGGTGTTAATAAAGAGAAAGAAAAGTAGGATGAATGGTTTTATAGAAAATGTTTAAATCAATCTAATGGATCCTGAAAGTCTTGAGAATGAACCCATTTATATGAGCTAAATCGATTCATTTGAATTTAACATATTAAAAATAGAAAGCAATTCAATAGAGAAATAGAGAATTGTCTATCAAATATTTTAAAGAAATAATTTTATCTAAACCTTTGATATTGATAAGAATAGGATGTGTGAATTTTTAAGCGAATTAGAATATAGATATGATAAACGCAGAAATCCATTCCATAATTACAATCATGGAGTAAATGTAATGCATAGTTGTCATGTTATCGTGAATAAAATGTTATCACTCAAACAGTATAAGGATATATTGGATTAAACTACCAAGTTGGCACTTATCTTAGGTGGATTGTGTCATGATGTTGGTCACACAGGTAGAACCAATTATTTTGAGATTAATAATTTATCTGAAAAGGCAATCAGATATCATGATAAAAATGTATTGGAATAATATCATGCAGCCACAGCACTCAAATTATTACTGAGAGAGAGAATGAACTTTTTGAAGAATATTGACTTTCGAACTTTCAGAGAAAAATTGATTTAAAACATTATCTTTACTGATAAGGCCGAGCACTTTAATTTATTGAAATTTTTTGAAGCAAACAATGAAAAAGATACTAAAATTATAACTGGAATGATTATTCACACTTCTGATTTTGCTGGAGGATCTGCTAAGTGGCCAATCTCTAAAGAATGGTCATTGAGAGTTAACTAAGAATTTCAATCACAATATGAAGAAGAGGGGAGACTAGGTTTGCCATAATAATCTTTTATGAAAGATTTACATAAAGTATAACATAATTTAATTTTAGATGTCTGTGTTGTCTAAATCTGAAATAGGTTTTTATAAATTTATTGTTCGTCCCTTATACGTATCATTATCTAACTTTATGGACAACTAACTTCAAGATAGAATAGATAATATTGACGAAACAATAATTGAATGGGATTTACTGGCATCTTAGGATAATCAATAATAATGCTGAAATACTTGTTTAATTTTATATTTTTGTATTAAATATATAAATGAGCAATAATTTCTTATCCAAGATAGACCTTCAACAAAGTTTGGCTTACAAATATTCTCAATAAGACACCTACTTTTATACAAAGTCTTTGAATGAATACATCGAAAATGCTAGATTACCACATGTGATTAATTTTCATTATGAGACTAATTGTAATGAGCAAAGTGAATATTTAAGAAGAACATACGATATTCGTATCTATTTTTCAATTAAATTAGATGAAATCGCTACAAAACTCACATTATTAACTGAATATTATAAATACCATAATGAGATTCCAAGATGCTTCTTACTTAAGTTGGCTGACATAATGAGCAAGTAAATATAAGAGCTTAATTATTATAGTTATCACGATAAGAAAAGGAGGATTGAATATTTTAGAATCAAGAGAATGATTGAAAAAGAGAACAAATCAAATCCAAATTAACCTAAAAAGAAAATCGTAGGAGAAGAACCAGATGACACAGCTACATAAAAATCTGGGAGACAATATAGTAATTTCTTGACTGATATTACTGAGGTCTCAAGGACAATTGATAAAATACAAACTAAACTCAATTCCATTAAATTAAATGTGGGTGATCTCTAATTAATGCCTTCAAATCGAGAATAAGATTAATTAGATAAGTTTCTTAAATATCTTGATGAAAAGAAATAAAAAAAAAAGATGCACATCATTTAAACTCCTAACTCAGTATCTCTAAAATTGCCCATTGCATTATCATAAAGAACAATCAAGCAAGTCTTATCAAGAAAGATGATTACACAATAATCTACATAAATTTCTTAATAAACAATCAATACCAATAAATCAACCAATAAATCAACCAAATAATAATCCCTATATTAATAACCATCTTAATTTCAATCTTCACCAAGAATCAATATCAAGTCCCTACCAAAACAAATAGGCTCGTTTACTCAAAGAACAGTCAAAGAAAACGCCTTATCTAAGTTGTTATCTCCTTTATAAATCCAGATCTTTAATACAAATAGGTATATGGCTATAATTACTAATTTAGTTAACATTCTAATAAATGCAAAACCAGTATTTCAATATCTAAATAATTTAAAATTACTGATTCTGTAAAATCTTCAATAAGATTGCATTAACACACAAAATCTGATTTTAAATTCTTTAAAAAATTATGATCCAAATGAATTTAATTTGTTTATGTATTCAAAATCCGAATGCAAATTATAATTAAATAGTTTAAATTAATTTATTTTTCATCCTTTCAATGTAAAATAATAATCCTAAGCTATTTATATATCATTCTTAGTCTTTTAAACTCAGTTATAAAATATTTATAATCATACTTCAATTTTATCTCCAACATTACTTCACAACTCTTCCTTAAAAAATGTATTTTATATTTTATCTTTGAAACCTTTAAATTATGATGCTTTTAATTGCTCGTTTATTGATTCTCGATAAGGTTTATTTAACTTTGAATTTAGATTGTCAATTATATTTATTTAAAGAATATTAACTTCATTTAATTAGAGATACAATCTGTAGTTATTATTTGTTTGTGTTATAAAAAAGCATATTTTATCTTTCTCATTGAAAAAATATAGGACCAGAAATCAGTTGCCATGGACTTACGTTACTAAGAACCAATTAAGAATAATAAGGATATGAGTATTCTCTAATTAAATCTCATTGTTCCCATATTTAATTAATGGCCATCGATGCATAATCTTTGTAAGGCAATTTGAATGAAACAAACTCGCAAATATTCAATTTGATTACCAAAATCTGAAAAGGTTATTTCTTCACTTTTATTAGAAATACAAGAAAAATATTATTTTAAAGATGTTTCGAAATATTAAATATATCCCATTTAAGGATAAATCCTTTTGAGTTTTCATCAGTGTGAGTAAATCATTTTGATTTTGTGAATCCTAATCAATATGTCATTGGAGCAAAGCATGTTCATATTCGGTTGCTATAAGTTTACGAAAATAAGAACTTAATTGAAATTAATTTTATTTGATTTAAATATAACAATTTTATATATATTATATAACATTGTGAAAAAATACTAAATAAAAGGAAGAGAATCACTCTTAGTCCTGATTGAACAGACAGAAATTAATATAAAGGAAACCAATTTATAAGATTGCAGAATAAGACAATGCATTTATAATGCTGCGATTAGGCAACTAAAGGAATCCTTAATTAGATATGGTTACAGATGTTCCTAGCATAATCAAAAATATGATTAGAATTAATTAAGAGAAAAAGAATTAGAAAGAATGAATATGTTTTATTTATTGTATTGAATATATATATCAATAGATATGATGATGATTGTTTCATTAATTTAAGTGATAAAGAAATTGATTAATTTTTTGTAACTAGGGATTAAGATATCAAAAGAGCTTATAATTTGAAAATATTGAGCATGTTTTATATTGTAGACTTAATGCATTCTTACTCTTATGAATTGCAAGTGGCTTATGTTCTAAAATATACTTGAATTCCATTTTTAAAACAATTAAAATGTGTAGAGATGATATGAATAATACAAATAATATTATTTTAACCGAATTTATTAATGAGTTTCTAAGAGATGTCTAAGCAAATAGAGGACATGACTAATTTTCTTGTATGAATCCATAATAACCTTTTAGTTAGAATAGAGCGATGAAAGCTTAGTAAATACATCTCCTACGAATCGCGAATAAATAAATCTTATCATCAATGATCACAAAGTGAAATAGAGAGTTAATACAATGTTGAAACAGAAGGTAATTTATGTAAACCTAAAATTAGAGTAGACAATATCCGCATTAATATTTAACTGTGGAATTATCAAGTGAAGACAATTATGAAATTGAGCTGGATTAAGAAGATATTAAATAAGTAACGAAATTTTTATATTCAAATTATAGGTTTGTGAAAATTTTGGAGAAGTCAAATAAGTCTACACCAAACTAAATGGAGCAATAATAATTAAGTTCAATTCACTTTTTGATGCTTTTATTGTTTATAAGCTTTTAAACAAACATTAAATAAAAGAGTTGGATGTCACTATCAAAATTGAATTTACTACCTAGTAGGATCTGTTGGAAATCATGGAGATCCAGGACTCTAATTAATAAAAATTTACATGTCGCTATGATGTTTAAATTGATAATGATAAAGAATTTTAAGTTGCTCGCAAAATCATAGGTAGTTTATTAATCAAGCAATTCTAGGAGCCAAAGGATGCAATATGAAAAAGATTATTGATTAGTGCTTGATAGATTGTGATACAAAAGAACAAGATCTTGTTAAACTCAGATTAAGAGGAAGAGGTTCAGGGTACAAAGAAGGTCCTGAAAAAAGAGAATCATAAGAACCTCTTCATTTATGTGTGTCATCCAAACACAATCATTTATTTTTGAGAGTAAAATTAATTGTAACTCGAATAGGCCTGTTAATTGGTTGAATAATTACTTTTAAAAATCTATGAGGAATATAAAATATTTGGGCTAAATAAGGGACGCAAATAAACACATTACAACATTAGAAGGGTTCACTAATCAATAAAACCTTAAATAAAAACCAACTTTATGCCTGAATTACCAAACTTTAATTTCTCAAATGTATTATCATATTTTAGCTTTTAGAATTAATTTGTTGATTTTAACAATGAAAACATAATGGCATATTCCAACATACCTAATTAATTAATATGATGAATTCATATATCATATTTATAATTAATAAATTGTAATTTGTATTTCTCAAATGGATTAACATCTTCAGAAGCAACAAGAATTAATACTATTCACAATTATCGAATATCCTATGTCTAAATTTCTTAATTCAGAATATTTTATATACTTATTGATTGATGAAAATTTTCTACTTTTGATTATCCTTACCTTCACATTTTATTAATACAATAATTAAATAAAGACATGAGGGTTTCTTTCATTTGAAAATTTCATTTAAGAACGCAATATTCTAATAGGTCTCTAGCATCAGAGAAGATTTTAGTATTGCATGATAATTTGATGAATTAAGGAGAATCAAAGACTAAATATTCTAAAAAAATAGAGGCTGAACACATTCAACCAATACTATCAATACTCTAAGATTATTCATTTCTTTTTAATTGAGCTTTATGTTGGAAGAATTATATTAGAATTGCAGTGATGATTTTAGAACAGTATTTTTTGTCAAGGTAGTCAATAATTACAAAAAGCTGTTCTTGTAGTTTTGTTATATTTAGAAACTTTCTCATTAAATAGAAGGAAATCTATAAAGAAAGGCAAAGAAATCTTTATAAATTATTAATTTGAAAACAAAACCAATTCACAACTATCAATTAATATCTAAGACTATTTCTACAGGAATTTAGAATATTTATATTTTGTTATTGGAAATTAAATTCTTCTTGGTCATCAAAACACAGATTAAATAGCAATAAAAAATTGAGAGAAGTATTTGATTATGTTATATATTAATAAATATAATGTATAGGTATATGTATATGTATATATATAGATAGTATTGATTTATATGTATGTATATATATATATATATATGTGTGTGTGGGTAATATATATTGTTATATTGTATATTGAATGTACAATAATAATTGATCATTCACCTCCTGATGATTTGGATCCTGGGGCAACAAATTATTAGATTTCATCATAGAGGACTAAGACAAGTGATGCACCGATTCCTCTGAAGAAATTTGAAAGGGCTCCTTTGAAGAAGGCTTTGGTTCCTTCATTCTTAGCAATTTTGACTGCACAATCAAGTGTATTTTTATAAAGAACATCTGCTCTTCCTATAAAATAGATAAATATTTATTATTACCAGATTGCATCATCATTCTTCTTCTGATTGTATCTAATGGATAAGAAATAACACCAGCTGTTCCTGTAATGAATTAGGCAACAATGAATTTGGCTAAAATGTTACCCCATCATTGGATGTTTAAAGATTGTTTCCCTTTGCTGTGTCATATGTACCAAAATAGACTCCTCTATATACCACAATTCCTAAAACTGAAACTCCAAATCCTCTATACAATCCGATGAATCCATCTGATTTATATACTTTACTCAAACAATCTGATAAGCCAGCGAATTGTCTCTCAGACTTCTTACCAATATCTGCAGCTAATCTTGTTCTTGCAAAATCGAGTGGATAAACAACCATCAAAGATGTTGCACCGGCTGCACCACCTGAAGCCATATTTCCTAAGAAAAAGAGGAATTTCTCCTTCTTTGGGTCTTAATAATATTGAAATAATAAATACCAAATGGACAGAGAAGCTTCTTGTAGGCATCTTTGAAGGCAAAGTTCAATGCTTAAGTTGGGAAATATCTGATGACATTGGCCAAATTACCTCTCCATAAAGCTGATAAACCCTTTTATTTTTGATTAAATAATATACTTCTTCCTTTGGGACTCTGATGAAGCAATCAACAATACCATTGTATTTCTTGGCACCTCCTTCTTAAATTTTTTTATTTGCATCTTAGGTTTAGAGTAACAATTTGACTCTTTCAATTGGAGCAACAGCAGTCTTTGAAACAGCAGCAGAAACACCACCAATCAAGAAATCTCTCAAGAAATCAGCCATTTATATGAAAAAAATAAATCTTTTTGAATTTTTGGAACAAATTTGTGCTTATATACATCACAAATAAATATATATTATATAATATTCTTTTATTACCTTCTATTTTATTACACTATTTCTAATAATTTTTATTAAAACCTTGAAAAAAAGCTATTTTCCTTTTCCATCCTTCTTACATTTTATTTATATTCAATGCTAACATAGTTTTTCACCCAAATGTCACTTGAATCCTGTTACATCCTTAAAATGAAATAATTAAAATTTTGGTTCATAATCATTATTAGTAGTTTTTCCGACTAAAAGTAGGAGAGAAATTGGGATGTAGCAATTAGCATATTGTTTTCTAAAGAAGGATGATGTTTTTAAAATAATACATAATTTATTATCTTTTTGGAATGATAAGAGTTTATTCTAAATTTTATTTCCAGGATTGTGATTCTGCTCAAATTTCATAAGAACTATACAAATCCTCAATTTGTTTTTAAGAAATTATTAAATATATCAATTAGAGAGTTATTTATACATTTTTCAATCCATAGAATTTTCTAAAGTATGTTAGCACAACTTCCTAAAATAATAAAATAGTGTCTTGAAATTACTATTGATAATGAAAACGAATTTTAGAACTCATATATGGTAAAATGATATTGATTAGTGATTTTTGCAAATTCTATCTATTGTTTGATGTAAACTATTTTTTATATTACAATTAGAAATTTGGAAATAATTTTCATTAGGGAATTAAATACTAACTTATAGGTTCAGTTGCCTAATGGGATGTTTATTATTGATTTTATTGCGAAAAAGTTGTATTTTACAAACTTATATTTATCTTATATTCTAAATAATGATAGAAGAACTATGAATAGAGATTGAGGGTGCAGTTTATGAGAAATAATTAGCTTAAATCGTAAGGTCTACTTTATACTTCACTTAACAAGCCTCAGGGAGTTATTTCATTTAGTTGAAAAGAGTAGACTTTGGGTTTTAATTCTGAGAGGCTTCCACATATAGAATGGTTTGATACATGTCTTTATTATTGATTATTATTTTGATTTAGTTTAAAATTGATCTCATCAAGTAAATCTGGAAATTAGTCAAGAATCAAATAAATCAATCAGTAAAAGGAAATAGAATAAGAATAAGTGATATAAAATTAATTTAAAGAGGTGAAATTCTGAATATAATATGGTTCGAAAGGGCGATAAGAATAACTATTAACATTTTAACATGGCAACATATAAAAGAAATAAGGTTAGAGAATTTAATAACATTAGAATTATATTATTTTATATATATGCAAAAAATGTGATTTTTATCATCTCTTAACAATACAAGATAGCGAAATGTTCAATTTAATGGTTTTAGTTTTTATTCTCTCCTAAGAAAGTTACTTAAAATTTTAGTTCTACCTATAGTAATTATCTCTTCCTAAATCTTATTCCAACCAAAATAATTACATATAAATATGATATACTGATGAAATTGATTTTCTGGAATACATTAATGGAATATAAATAAATGAAATTATGAATAATATATTTATTTCAATTCTACGAAACCTAGTTTATATTAGATGTAAGAGTTAACAATTTTCAAACGTATTTCATGAAATAATTTATGTGAAAGAATGATTTAATAAAATGTTAAATATTCCCATATTAAATGGCTTAAAGGGAGTGTTCTATCAATCATAAAACATACTTATACAATTACAAACTCTTTAGTGAAAGAAGAATCAAAAATTACAATTATTAATAGTATCAATATGAAAAAATGGTTACATTAATTTAGAATAAAAGGAAATAATCAAAATATGAAAATTATTTAGAATAGACTTTGGAATATGAATATAAATAAAATGTAAGAAGGATGGAAAAGGAAAATAGCTTTTTTTCAAGGTTTTAATAAAAATTATTAGAAATAGTGTAATAAAATAGAAGGTAATAAAAGAATATTATATAATATATATTTATTTGTGATGTATATAAGCACAAATTTGTTCCAAAAATTCAAAAAGATTTATTTTTTTCATATAAATGGCTGATTTCTTGAGAGATTTCTTGATTGGTGGTGTTTCTGCTGCTGTTTCAAAGACTGCTGTTGCTCCAATTGAAAGAGTCAAATTGTTACTCTAAACCTAAGATGCAAATAAAAAAATTTAAGAAGGAGGTGCCAAGAAATACAATGGTATTGTTGATTGCTTCATCAGAGTCCCAAAGGAAGAAGTATATTATTTAATCAAAAATAAAAGGGTTTATCAGCTTTATGGAGAGGTAATTTGGCCAATGTCATCAGATATTTCCCAACTTAAGCATTGAACTTTGCCTTCAAAGATGCCTACAAGAAGCTTCTCTGTCCATTTGGTATTTATTATTTCAATATTATTAAGACCCAAAGAAGGAGAAATTCCTCTTTTTCTTAGGAAATATGGCTTCAGGTGGTGCAGCCGGTGCAACATCTTTGATGGTTGTTTATCCACTCGATTTTGCAAGAACAAGATTAGCTGCAGATATTGGTAAGAAGTCTGAGAGACAATTCGCTGGCTTATCAGATTGTTTGAGTAAAGTATATAAATCAGATGGATTCATCGGATTGTATAGAGGATTTGGAGTTTCAGTTTTAGGAATTGTGGTATATAGAGGAGTCTATTTTGGTACATATGACACAGCAAAGGGAACAATCTTTAAACATCCAATGATGGGTAACATTTTAGCCAAATTCATTGTTGCCTAATTCATTACAGGAACAGCTGGTGTTATTTCTTATCCATTAGATACAATCAGAAGAAGAATGATGATGCAATCTGGTAATAATAAATATTTATCTATTTTATAGGAAGAGCAGATGTTCTTTATAAAAATACACTTGATTGTGCAGTCAAAATTGCTAAGAATGAAGGAACCAAAGCCTTCTTCAAAGGAGCCCTTTCAAATTTCTTCAGAGGAATCGGTGCATCACTTGTCTTAGTCCTCTATGATGAAATCTAATAATTTGTTGCCCCAGGATCCAAATCATCAGGAGGTGAATGATCAATTATTATTGTACATTCAATATACAATATAACAATATATATTACCCACACACACATATATATATATATATATACATACATATAAATCAATACTATCTATATATATACATATACATATACCTATACATTATATTTATTAATATTTCGTGTAATCCATTACTTAACAGAATTATGTAAAATTTGATAATTATCCCTTTTTTTTGAAGCAATTAGTTTCTTCTATTGTCAATTAAATGGTGAAATTTTCTAGAAGTAGATTAATTCTTAAATAAAATTTATTTAATAGGAGAACAGATATAAATTTATGAAAAATGATTTATTAAAATCCAACATAATCTTAAAGTATAAATGGATGCAATGTTAAAATTAAATTTGAATTAATAGAAATTTTCATATCCAAATAATTGTTGCAATATAAATGAAGTAATAATCATTTTTGAAAATTAAAATATTATCATTCACCTTTTTATTATTCATTATTTTTCTTAACTGCAGAAACAATTTCTTTAGATATTGGAACAGTGAATGGAATAGATATGGGTTACTGAAATGAAAATGCATTTTAATTTGGATTTTTTTGTATTTAAGGGGTAGTAAATTAGGGCAATTCTTGAGTGGCTTATGATTTTTATTATGGAGGAGATTAAACAATTAATGGGAAGCTAGCAGGAATAGATCGAATGGGAGAATTTAAAGGTTGTCTTTTTGTATCAGAATAATTATCTAAAACTTAAATGGATGTTCTTTATTTTGAAGGAGTATTAGTAGGTGACATTGCTTACAACTATTATTGTATTTGGAAATAGGGAGTTATTGACTCTGTTAAGACTGAAGTAATTCTACCATACAAGTTTTGCTCATATAATAAAAGTTATTTAATGAAACCTGGATTAGGAGAAGCTATGGGTCTCTAATATTTAACATAGATTAAGGCTTATTCTAGATTAAGGTTTCTTTTTTTCATCAAATAGGAGACAACAATAGCTGTTGATCTTGATTTGCCAGCATGACAATGGACTAAAACATTAGTGTATTGTCTAGACGATTCTAAGTACGCATGAGCTTGTTCAAAAAGTGGAGTCATATCAAAAAGAGGAGTGTCATGGCAATCTAATATTAGATTGTTGATCTCTGGACCGTATTAAATTTCTTTAGTTAAAATGAAGGATTACTAAATTCAGAACAAACTGAGAGAACGCATGTAATATTGTGTTAATTTAGTGCATTCATATTCGTTGCAGTAATGATGGAACCTTGAAAAAGTCCTCCCCTTTTTTCGACTGGTTCTATGATGAAGGAAATATCGTAATTGTTAATCATAATAATAAATTATAAATAATAAAGAATTCGATTGAAATTTCTGTATAATTCAGATTTATGTTATACATATAGTCTACGTCTTATCATTCAACTGCTTCTTCCAACATGACTTCAAAAAAGTTAGGCTTATTTGTAGAATGCAAATCAATTTTTAATTTACTTTTTCAATAAAGTATAATCATTTAACTAATCTTATATTCATGAATAGTTTATAGCATCTATGAGTAGTAAATCTTTTTATTGATTCAAAATTAGATTCTAAACTTAGTAGCGATTATTAAGTGAACTTGATTCTATACCAAAATCCAATTAAATACAAATAGTCTAATCCAAATCTTTTTGATACTAAATACTCTAATTATGTATAACTTAATTTTGATATGTTAATACTGATGTATGCACTATTATATTTAAAATGTTTATCAACTATTTTAGGCTGTTCTTTTTTTTAAATCTTAGAACTATGGAGATTGTATCACTAATTGACTTACTGTAATTTTATCATATAAGATATTGGGATTTCTTTATATTTCGAAGTATATTAAGATTAAAATATTATGATCTCATTTAATAAACTATAATATTTAGATATTGGGATAAGTACTTGATTGATTATTACCAAAATTAGGAACTCTTCAAAATTGGCAAGAGATGTTTGAATTTAACAATAATCTAATAAAGACTACTTGACTAAGTTAAAATGAAAATTTCAAATTAATACTTAACATTTGAAGCATAATTCTAATTTTTGTATAGAACCATTTCATCATTCAATGATGTTGAAATAAATTTGAAATTTACACTCTCAGCCTTTAGTATCTTTATCATATCCAAATATACTTTGTTGTTTATATTTAATATAATCTACCTTTAAATAGTTAAATTAAAATTATCTCTTGGAATAAATATCCTGTTTCATAACGTTTTGTCGCTTTCTCCAATCTTTAATTTCTATCTCATTTTAAAATATATAATTGCTCATTAACATAAACTGAATTGAACAATTTTGTGTAAAATGTTCTCTAATTTGAGAAGTTTTTACTTTTTCTTCAATTTTATTGGGAATTTGGATTGTTTACTATTACATTTGTAAAATTATATTTGCTCTTACTCTTAATTGGAATTCTTTCAACGGTTTTTTATGATTAATTGTAATTTAGAAATTTCTTTTTGAAATATGATTTCATTTCCGACAAATTTAACAGATTTCTATCCAAGCTTAATTTCTGTTTATAATTCTTCAATTGAATACTTAATTTTGTTTACTTTGCTGAAAGATAGGAAAACTTTGCTCTCTTCATTCTATGAGAGTAGAATTACCAACTATTTCATTCCTAACCAGGAATTGGGCTTGGTAAGATTTAACAACTAATTAGCCCGTAATTTTGAATTTTGGCATTGAGGTTCATTTTTATTCTTTTAATACAATCCTTCTTTATCTTCAGAAGTTCATTAGCGTAACAAAGGATTGGAGTTAATCT